AGAAGTTAAACACAGATTTACTACATGACCTAGCAATTCCACTCCTGGGTATATACCTGAGAGAAGTGAAACATTCATATAAAAACGTATATGTGAGGGCCGGCCCGGTGGCGCACTGGATAGTGCGCCGCTTGGGAAGCGCGGCGGCGCTCCCGCCCGAGGGTTCGGATCCCACATACAGACTGGTTCCTGCTCACTGGCTGAGCGAGGCGCGGGAGCAACACCGAGGGTTGCAATACCGTTGCTGGTCCCCGGTCCGGTACGGGGGCAACACTGAGGGTTGCGATCCGTTGCCGGACACGGAAAAAGAAAAAAAAAAAAAAAAAAAAAAAAAAAAAAAAAAAAAACGTATATGTGAATGTTCACAGAAGCATTATTCATAATAGGCAAAAAGTGGACACAACTGTTCATCAACTGATTAATAGATTAAATGTGGTATATTCATACAATGGAATATCATTCAGCCATAAAAAGGAATGGAATATTGGTGCAAACTACAACTTTGATGAACCTGGAAAACATTGTCCAGTGAAAGAAGCCAGTCATAAAAGATCACATATTAATATGTTTCCATTTATATGAAATGTCTAGAACAGGCAAATGCAGGCTGGGGCAAGTGGGATAGGGAGTGACTACTAATTAATGAGTATGAGGTTTCTTTCTGGGGTGAAAATATATGTAATTAGAAAGCAATTGTGGTTGCACAATTTTGTGAATATACTAAAAGCCGCTGAACTGTACACTTTAAAAGGGTGAATTTTGTGATATGTGAGTTATATCTCAATTTTTAAAACATGTACCAACAACAGACCTTCACTCAAATAATTTCTGAAAGATCTTCAGGAAAAAGAAAAACGACATTAAAAGCAAGATTCGAGATAATACACATGTAAATAAATCGAAACAAACATCATATAATAAAAAGCGTATTTTGAAGGGTGGAAAAAAAGCTAAAATATTGTGTGAGTGAAAGTTCTGTTTAACAATTCTGTTAAAATAGGTATGCATAATAAAAATTCAGGAGAAAGCACTAAAGGAATAAGTAAAGCATAAAACTTTCAAATCAGTAGAAGGAGAAAAACTAGAATAAGAAAAATATTTCTCAATCCAAAAGCTGACAAGAAAGGAGAAAAAGCGATAAAAACAGAAAGCACCAACTAAGATGGTAAAAGCAAGTCCAAATATATCTGTAATCACCCTCGGTATTTACCAAACTTCATAGTTAAAAGATTGCAGGGGGCCGAGCCCGTGGCGCACAGTGCGGCGCTGGGAGCGCAGCAGCCCGCCGCGGGTTCGGATCCTATATAGGGATGCCCGCCGGTGCGCTCACTGGCTGAGCGCGGTGCGGCCGGTCTAAAAAAAAAAAAAGATTGCAAGATTAGATAAATTAAAATCCGGCTGTAATGCTGTTTACAAGAAACACACCTTTAAAAAAGACACAAAAGTTTAAAAGTAAAAAGGTATGAAAAGATAAACTGAGCATATACTAACCAAAAGAAATTTGGGAGCTATGTTATTAGACAAAATAGGCTTTAAGGTAAAAGGCATTACAGGCACAAGAACATAACTACATGATGAAAGATCCAACTCACAAGAAGGCACAAAAATTCAATACTTAATGAATCCATTAAAATAGCCTCAAAATGTGTAAAGCCCAAATTGTGGAATCACAGAGAAAAAATGCCAAGTGCACCATCTAGTGGAAGATTTCAGCATACTCCTCATTTACTGAACAGAACAATTAAGTTTGTGTCAGTGGCCCTACGTAGAGCCCTGTACCCAGTGATTAAAGAATATACATTTTTTTTTCAACCACACATGCAAACTACAAGAACTGACCAAGTACTAAATCATGAAACAAGACTCAACAGATTTCAAAGAACAGATATCACGCAGATCTCATTTGATATATTTAAAATCCCCTCATATTTAAAAACCCTTCAAGATAAGCTTTTTATTTTATATGTTTAGATATATTTACATGTTTATCATCTCAAAACTAAACTCTCAGTGCTCTCTGTGCTCCTGAAGTGTTCACTTTTGGGGATGTCTCTCCAACTCACAAGTACTCCCTTTTTCTTAGAACTGCCCCTACCTACCCAGCAACTGTGACTATGTAATAGGACTGTCCCCTATGCCCTTCATGTCCACAGTTGATTGAACTAGAGATGAATCCCAGTTGTGCCAACCAGATTCTTTCTCCAAGAAATATGATTGGATAACAGGATCGTCCTCTATGTCCCACCCTGTACACCATGGCCACAGTTGATTGGACTAGAGGTGGAGTCCCAATTCAAACTGGGCCAATCACATTGGTCTCCAAGAGAGTGTTCTTTATTGAGTTGAGATGAAAATGGGGTGGCCGCCGCCTTCTGTAAGCCCAGAGGAGCAAAGAAAGCTGGTCTGCAAAGAGGAACCAAGGGTTCCTGCAAAGAAGGGAGACCACACTGAGAGGGAGAGACTGCAAGGTAGATTGACCAGAGAGAGGGACAGAGAAACAGAGTTAAAGAGACAGTATGAGAAATACTCTTAGAGCATGTAGAGCAAGATTGAGTTAGAGATTGAGAGAGCACAAACCACTGAGTGTGAGAGAGGATGAGAGAATCAAAACCAAAGAGAGATGGCCTGAATTCTGATGGCTCTGCAGTACCTGGTTCCAGTCCTTTCTGAGGTTAACTGGCACCTGTTACTTGTAAGCAGAAGACTTCCCATGTGCAGTCCCACCCCACCTTTAGACCTTGGCTCTAGCCTATCCCTTTGCCTATGCTACCTCCAATTTTGCTTTGTCCTGTCAATCCTTCAAGATTCTGTTCTGGTCCAGTAATTGTGGTGGCCTTTTTTTCTATCACTCCAGCTGCTAGAGCTCTCCAAACTCTAGAGTGCATTCTGTTTGGAAAACTCCCATTTGTAAGCAGAAGCAGCCTATTTGGCCCCTCTCTCTTCTTGTCTGTGCCATTCCTCCCTGCCATCCAGTGTCCATCCTTGTACAATTCACTCTCAGTAACTGGGGGATCAGCCAGTGTATAGCAGGCTGAGACTGAAATCCCAGGTCTTTTCTGGGATGAATATTTTGTCCATCCAGTGTGGAGTCTCACTGAAAATCTTGCAAAGGAATTTAGAGATGGTCTAGATTTTAATCTAGACCAGCTCCTTCATTTATAGGTGAAGAAATTGAAGTCCAAGGGAAAGTCACACAGCTAGCAAGGAGCACATCTAGCTTTGGAGGCAAGACACTTAGAAAATAGCTATCATGAACTCAAGAGTGTTTCCTTGTCTGAAAGGTATCTGCCTGCCTGCCCCTCCTAGCCTCCATCCCATTTTGCACAAGCTGTATGTGCTTGTGCTTCTTGTTCCTGACAGCTACACCATCAGCAAGCCATGCCCTAGCTATCATTCAAACCTCAGATTAGATGTCACCTCTATGAAGCCTCCTCTGACCACCACTCCCTCCAAGTCTGGTGCCACCATGTATATTTTGTACTATCTCATAAAGGCCTGTCTACTTGCACACATGGCCTGGCATCCAGTAGGCACTCAATGTTTGGTGAGTGAAGAAAAGAGTCAGGTACCTGTTGCTGCTTACTAGAGTTCATTTATTCAGGCCCTCAACTGAGAACAGTAAGGGAAGGACTGGAGTGGGGGCTCAGTCAGCTCATCTTCCCCAGCATCTTCTGAGTTTGAAGGGAACTGGTGGTTAGGCTAAAGCAGCATGCACTCTGGCTCCTGAAGTGGCTGGGTTGTCCAAGCTACAGTTAGCAGTCAAGCCGCCTCAAGCAGTCAGTGAGAGCTGCTCTCTTGAAACAGTGGGACAGAAGTGAAGTCTGGAAGTGGGTCAAGTTGCAATGACAAGGCCACTAGGCCTCAGCCCTGTATATGCTCAGTTTCTTTGGGATAGGGTGCTTAGCCAGAGAAATTTCTAATTGATTATAAACTGAACCCCCAGGAGCTGGGTGATATTGATTCAAGAACACAAATCCACCCCAGGCCAGAGGTAGCCAAAAGGAGTTGTACTGGGCTGGCCAGGGGATAAGGGAAGACTTTTTATCTTGATTATAAACAATTCCTCTCCACTCCCAGTCCCCTTGGCCTCTTTCCTGACATATTCTGGAAGGGTTGGGAAAAGGACAGAGAATGCATTTATCTAACCCCACAGCCCACTGTCCTGAATGTTGATGCCTCCAAGATCACTCTGGCACTACTTACTGTGTCTGATTTACTATTTTAAGCCAAATACGTTTTCCAAAAACAAAATCTTGTCCATTTGGACCAGTTGTTTTACTCCAGGGACAGGGGCTGTTACATACAGCAGAGATCTGGTATCTGGAAAAGCTGGGTGTCTTTAGAAGAGCTAGAAAAAAAGAGAAAAAGCCCATCATTTCTGAGTGCGGTCAGCCAATCCAGCTGAAGAAGGCAACGGGCTGTGGGGAGGAGCCAAAGGACCACTTGGCCAGCATGCCAAACTTTGGGCCAAGCCACTGTATAAGCTCACAGTATTGGAAAGAAAGAAAAAAAAAATCAGGACATGTTCTTAGTTTTGCTCAGGAGCCCAGAACATGCTCAAAACTCCAGGAATCTGCTCTTCTCTGCAAATGGAAAATATGACCCATGAGAACAAACTTGACTGCTGCAGTATGTGTCTAGTTGCCCAGCCCTATAACTTAGGGGGGCCAGGCCTCACGCCACCTTGTGACTGCTTTCAGAGTCCCTTCTGCCTCTCTGAGCTGCTGGTTCACTTTAATGTTAAAAGACGGGATGGTGGCCTCAAAATCAAAGCACAGAATGTGCATTTATTAATATTTGGCTTGGGCTACACTGGGCTTCTAGCAAGAACAAAAGCAAATATAAAGGGAAATATACTAATACAATTAGAAACCTAGTGTAATTGTGGATACAAGGAGATGTTCTTTCCTTACTTGATAGAGGAACTATGATTTCCCTGTATTCAATAGCTTAACTTTGAATGTGCACTAGAGTTCCAAATCCAGCAAAGAAATACGTTATTTACATTTCAAGTAAAAATATTGTATTTTATTTATTTCACTACCATTTATATGTATGAACATGATAGAGACCTTGCTTATGTCCTGTAGAGCAAAACTAAGAAATATGCTTTATATTGGTTATTTAATCTTCAGCATTAGATTACTATTATTGTAGAGGTGAGTAAAACCAAGCAAAAAGAAAAGGAAGTACATTTGCATTAATGGCACTAAATGAAGAATGGTCAAAGATGCAGTTTTACCAGTGACCAGTTTCTTGTTTCTTTTAAAGAATAGCACAAGGGGCTTTATTTTGCTGTTTTGGGGGCTGTGCGCCAATCAGTATCATGGGACAAAGACAGTAAGTAAAGGCATGAAGAAACAAGCAAATTGCACCAAAACAGATGTGCTTAAATTAACCAAGTGACAGTTTATCAGTCTCACAATGGCTGTCACATGAGGGACAGGGAGAAGAATATGAAGTACCATAAGACTTAGTTACTCAGAGGCTGTTGAGCAACTCCAGGAAATCTCAGGCTACCCCTCCATGCTGGCGCTGGCCACTCCTACTCTCCCGCTGCTGCCTCCTTGAGGGCACTCTTCCTCGGACAGTGCCTGCAGTAGGGGATCGGGCTGGGGTGCTTTGGAGGTACTGAAAAGCACTCTGGCGGCCCACCTGCCTTTCTACACAGTTAAAGGTAAGGGCTACCCCCACGTTGCTCTTCATGACTCTGGAGGAGCCATCAGATGTCCCATCAAAGCACCGGCCAAGTGCAATCTCCTTGGCTGTGCGAGGGTCCTGATCAGTGACAGTGTAGATGCCGTAGTTGTGGCCCAGTGGGTCCAGGGGTGCAAGCATGGTGTACTCACTGGTGTCATTGTTGACTGCCAGTGGTAGGTGGTTGACAAGGTACTCATGCAGCATGGAATTCACGCTGGCTCGATGGCAGCTGCCCTGGGGGATGATTTTCACCAGTGTGCGGTCCACACGGTCCTGGTCATAGAGCATCCCACTGCATTTGAACTCCAGACAGGCAGATGAAACATTGGGTTGGTCCCTATCCCGAGTGCTTCTCACATCCCGGATTCCATAAAGCTTCCCCACTGTCTGCCGGTGGGTGCCCCCCATGTTGCAGGATCGCACATTCACTTCCAGTGGCCCCACGATCCTCACCTTGATGTAGCAGGCCCTGAACTCCATCGGCTTGGGCCACCATGCCAGGTAGTCTTCAGTCCAGCTCATGGGGTCATCTTCATTGAAGTGGACTGTGTTATAGTCATACCGATCCCCCTCAATCTGGTAGAAGCGGAAGTGGGCTGCACTGGGTGGTGCCTCTTCACATGCCCGGAGGTTCTCAAAGGCATAGATAGGCCCATTGCTCTCCTCAGCTGAGTTTGGCCTTGGCTTGGCCATGCTGATCTGGAAAGCTGTCTTCTTAACCCGGGGGTCCTCATGGTCTGTCCGTTGGTACTTAAGCTTGCTGAGGTAGGGCTGAGGGACACCAATTGCATTTGGGTTGAATTTAGGAGAAGACTCCACTGCTTCTAGTTCCTCCCCAGCCAGGCTTGCCAAGACATAGGCAGAGTAGGCATCAGGGGACTGGTCATCACAGAAGGCAGGTAGACAGGCCCCATTAGGGCCCGTGATGACACTGTCAAAGCGGCCCCAAGCCCTAGGGTTGGATGAGAAGCCAGTTCTGGGCTCTAGGTTGATCACAGAGACCACAACCCCCTGGATCTGCTCACTGGGCAAGAACCTCTCACTCCGGTAGGCCCTCACTTTGATAAAGCACCTCCTGCTTTCAGGGACATCCAGATTAAAGAGCCTCCTCTCACGGATCTCCATGTTGCCCACCAGGAAGGTTCTCTCTTCCCTTTTATTCCTCCTTTGGCTTTCAAATTTGAAATCACCTTCCTCCTCCCATAGTCCCGTGTCTGGGTTGAGCGACCAGAGTTTCATTGTGGGCACGTGCTCTGGCATCTTGACCTGGGTCGAGTCGAGGTGGACCTTCACCTTGCCAGCATTAAGGGGCTCTGAGGTAGCCTCATCTGTGAAGTCCACAGAGAACATGCCATATGTCCGAAGGGGGAAGGTGTCTCCTTCATCATTGATGAAGTTCAGGTCACTCTGGGCAGCTGTGGCTGTGGAAATATTCCGGGGATCCAGGAAAGTCACACTGGCCTTCACTTTTCCTGTGTAGGGCTCCCCATTCTGCCTGTAGAAACTCTTGGATGGGATCTCCAGTTCAGCCATGGGATCTTCACCAACCACCTCTCCCAGAGGGATAATGTTGGTCTCCATGGCTTCCAAAGTTATGGGCTCTTTCCGCCGAAGCATCTTGATTTCATGGAACACTGCACTCCCCTTCTTGTTGAAAGGCAGCACTTTAGTGGTATTGACAAACTTCTGCAGCCTGTCCACAAATGTGAGTACCAGTCTCTCAGTGTCCTGGGGGATGTGGAGGGTGAAAGTTCCCTTGTAGCCAGTCATGCTCACACGGCTGCCCCCCATGTACACGTAGCCAAAGCGCATGGGTTCCCCATTGTCGGCAGCACTGACACGGCCCCTCACAATGCTCCGGGTTTCTGTACACCTCTGGCAGCTGCACTCTGTGGCCACCTTAGTGGGCAGCGTATACCCACTGCACTGAATCTCCCTCTCCTCTGTTTTGGAGATACCACAGCAGTTTGCAGCATCCCGGCACCTGATCCCATTATCCTGCTGCCCTGCACAGGTCTTGACAGGGCAGTGGCCCACATCATAGTAGAAGGAGTTGGTAGCATTCTGGAAGCAATCATGGGGCAGCCGGATAAGGTAGCTCTCAGGGGTTGGGCTGCAAGGAGTCTCACCAAGAGCTGCGGAGGAAAATGGTGTAGATATTAAGATGTAAGTTCACATCCTATACAAAAGGTTGCTCAACGTCACCTCTCTGTGAGGATTTGCATATCCATGACCCTGACTCTCACGGAACTCTGAGGGAGATGGAACAGCTATTACCAATCCCATTTTTACATGAAGAAAGAGTTGTTTGCTACAACCACTAGAGTAGTGGTTCTCAATGGACGGTTCTTGAAAATTTGTGAGGGTGTTTTGGATTATCACCAAAATTGGGGGTGCTACTGGCATATAGTGGGCAGGGACCATTGATGCTCTATATCCTTCAATGCCTGGCACTGTTCTGCATAAAGAATTTTTCTGTATCCTGCACAATTTTCCCACATCCCAGCAGTCATGTAGGTAGAAAACCTGTTTAAAATGATGACAGAATAGTATTATTTACATGTCTTTAACCATACACTGAATTTTTCAAGGATGCAACTACCATATAAATCAAGCTGAGACTGTACTTTTTTTTTTTTAGCTTGGAACAATACCAGGAATTGTTCCTCATCTTAGAAAAATCATGTTCCTGCAACAGCATTCCTCAAGGACTGTGAATCGCCAAAATGATGCCTCTTTGTCCATCAGCATTTGTAGCTGTCACATTGAGTCAGTATAAGTGTCTGACTTCTTGGTTTGTCTTCTCATGTCATTGTGCCAAAGTATTTATATGTTGAAATATACACTATTTTGTATTAAAGTTATTTTCTTTTTATTTCTCCTTTATGTTACAGTAAGAACCATGTGCATATATGTTTGGAAATTATATGGAGTTATATGTAATAAATTTAACTTCAGAATAGTAGAGCAGTATTAAAAATAACTGTGACAAACAGGGAGCATTGATGTAATGAGTTGGAAATCACTGCTGAGGGGTTTCACATCTGCTCTGCTGAGATCCAGAGTGCCCTGTGTCCTGTCTGTCCTGAGGTTTGTTGCTCAACTTTCTTGGAGTCTGTAAAATATTCCAGGAGCCTTCCAATAAATTCTATCTTCCTCTGCCTTTTGTTTTGTTTTGTTTAGTTTAGGCCAATTACTAAGATATCCTCCTTCCCCCTCACTTTTCAAGGACAGGTTCCTGACCGGTTTTTGGCCTTGAATCTTTCCCCATTCAGTTCTCATCTTGAAGCTAGCTCTAATCAGGTCACCCTTTCTTGTAAAGCCCCTTCAGTTCCCCACTTCTGTACTTTGCCCACACTAGACCCTCAATCTGGAGAACCTCCACCTCCACGCACACAGTCCCTGCCTTTTTTTTTTTTGCACCTGGACATTGGTTTTTAACAGCACCACGCTCCGACATTGGTTTTTAACAGCACCACGCTCCGACCACCTGAACTAATGGGGGGGGGGGGGGGGGG